TCATGGCATCATCTTCCTGATATCATGATCCTCTTCGAGAATGAGGGACAAGTCACAATCACACAACAGGAAGTAAGCATACAGTTCTTGGAATCGAGAAGACCTGAGTTTGAATTTGGCCTCAAAGTAGTTTTGTGACCCTGGCTAAGTCAGTGAACATCTCTCAGCCTCCATTTCCTTATCTATAAAAGAAGGAAAATAATAGTACCTTCCTCACAGATTTGTGAGGATTAAATGAGGTGATATATATAAAACATTTTGTAAAGTTTAGAGCACTATACATAGAATATAATACAATATAATATGCATTTATTAAGTTCCACTAATTTGCAAGGCATAGGGCTTGGTGCTGAAGCTATAAAAGCAAAATACAAACCAGTCCCTGCCCTCCAGGATTCTAAGAAGTAGAGGAAAGGAGGGAGCCCCTTTGAGACATGAGGTCAGTCTGTGCAAAGGTATGGAGGGAAATAAAGGACAGCCAAGTAGGGAAACAGCAAGTTAGCCAGTTTGGCTGGATAGTAGAATTTGTGGAGAGGAGAGATGTGAGGTAAGCCTGGAAAGGGTGCCTTAAGCCGGATGGTGAAGGGCTTTAGCTGAAAAGCTGAGGAATCAGTTTTATGATAGAGGCAGTGGAGAGTTACCAAAGCCTCTTGGGCACGGGAATGATATTGTCAGATGTGGACTTGAAGGAGATGTCAGCTCTACGGAAGACAGATTAGAAAGGAGCAAAACTGGAAACCAGGAGTCTATTTAGGAGACAACTGCAAAAATCCAGGGGAGAGGTGATGAGTACCTGAACTAGGGTCATGACTGTGTAAAAGACAAAAAGAGGACAGATGTGAGTACTGTGGAGGCAGACCAAAAAAAAAAAAAAAAAAAGACTTGTCAACTGATTGGATCTGACAGGAAATGAGGGAGAAGAAAGAACTGAGGATGATTCTGATGTGGTGAATGGTGGGATCCTTAATCAAGAAAAAGGTAGGATCCCAGGGGAAGATGCCAAGTCCCATTTGAACTGGTTGAGTTTGAAGTGACCACAGGGTAAGGGTATCTTTCCATTCATTGTTCTCAGGTAGTACGGTATATTGTAGCTATCTGTGTCGGTATTTTACCCTACTAGGACCATACGATCTATGGGAGATGGGACTGTCTTACATAAATTTTTAATCTCTCCAGCACAAAACATAGTGCTACATACAGTAAGCACTTAATAAAAACCTTATACTTCTAGTTGTGTATAACCACAGTGGCAACATCATTTAGAGCACTTGAAAGCCACACTTCAGATGCCCGTCTCACCATTCCCAGCCCCCAAACTGACAAATTGTCTGGCCAAAGTGACCATTGATTCCAAAGATTTGTATGGCCTCATTAAAAATCCTGGTCCCCAAATAATTCATAATGATTGTCTTTAGGCTGATACTACATCTCCTTTGTCCACAGAGATAAAGGGTTAATTATAGATTAGGGACATTTGGGTTATCCCCTCATCCCCACCACCAAGTCTGCACAGCCAAATGCAGAGAGTCAACACAACCTACAAAGAAAAAGGAAGGAAAAGCTCCTGATGAGCTTAACCCTAATGAATTAAATCCATTTCTAATTTTGAAAGCATTCTTAACTCTGTGTAGTTATGGGTACCGCTCACTATGGTTCTCAGACTTCCACAGAAGAATGCTCATCTGGCTTTGAGATACTGCAGAGGGAAAAATGAAAGGTTAAGCTGCTGCTTGCCCTCAGGAACAGAGGCCAGTATCATAGATTCTGAATATGGGGTGTGATCTCCTGGGCAGACAGAAAAAAAATCAAAGGCTGGGTTGAGTGCTATTGATCCATGGGGAAAGTCAATTGAGAGCCACCCAAAAGTAAGCCACTTCATTTAGTTGGTTTTTGGTTGTCACTTAATTTTAACACATTCTACTATGACTTAAAATAAGTTCAGGAAACATGAAATTCTAATCAATAAATTTAATTCAGTAATGCAAACTTTGTATCAAAGGCTCCTTCCTGATATGAAGAGCCTGGGTATATTATGTTAGGGATCTCTCAAGCCACAGGCTCACTACACCTGTCCAGAGGATTTGGGCACTGCAGAATCTGATACCCTCCCCTGCAAAGTAGATGCCAGCTCCCCTCGCAAGCGTGCAGGCTTATTTATAAGGCTTGAAACATAAACAGTTTTATTTGCAAATTAATGGAAACAAACAGGACTTCTACCATGCTTGTGGAAACCAATCAATCAATGTGCCGGGCACTGTATTAAGTTCTGGGAATACAAAGGCAAAGAATAAAAATGTAGCCATCCCCATCAGGGAGCAAGCCTCCCCCCCCACAAATAGCTCAGCAGTGTCAGTGACTTACAGTACTGCCTTGGCAAGGCTGCTAAAAGAGGGGAGCCTTGGGGCAGCTAGGTGGCGCTTGGAGTCAGAAGGACCTGAGTTCAAATCTGGCCTCAGACACTTGATACTTAATTTGCCTCTGGGCATGTCACTTAACCCCAATTGCCTCACCAAAAAAAAAAAAAAAAAAAAAAAGACAATCATAAAAGAGGGGAGCCAAAGTCTGTTTCCCAACATGGGTGCCTCCTCCAGGTCCCTCTGGGCATCATTGAGTGTCTCCTGGATGACTTGCCTCTTCATGTTCTCTCTAGGCATCACTGCTTACTCTCCCCACTACTGTTCCCTGCCCTTGTCTTCCTTGGCTCCCGAAGGTGGTGGCCTTTTTGCCATTCGCCTTCCTTCCAGTCTTCTGCAGTTGTGCTTCCTGAACTTCTCCTTCCTAACATTTTCCTCACTCCCTGTCCTAGGGGACCAGTTCTTCAACAACTAATCCATATGGGAATGATGCTTGAGATGTGTTCAGTTGTTTTTTTTTTTTATTTTTTTAGTCTCCATTATTCTAAAGGCTTTTTTTTTTGTTTCAGTCCCCTCAGCCCAAGGTGTCACACACCAGAGATCTCTGGGGGGCTAGCACCTTACAAGTGTCTCCCTGACTCCAATGCCATGTGGGTTCATGGTACCTCAGTATCTTTCCCCTCAAACTCTCCCCTCTTTCTACCTTCACTATTACTGGTGAGGGGACCACCATCCTACTAGTCACCCAGGCTTTCACCTGGGCGTCATCCTCAGCACCTCCCCCTCTTACTCCCATATCCAATTAGCTGTCAAGTCCTATCATTTCTACTTTCAGAACATCTCCCATAGATGGCCCTCTCTCTCTTCTGACACTGCCATCCCCCGGTTTAGGCTCTCATCACCTCAAACACGGACTATGGCAATAGCCTGCCGGATGGATCTGTTTGCTTCCAGTCTCTCTCTTCTCCTATCTCTCCTCCAATCAGCTGTTAAATTCATCTTGCTCCAATGCAAACTTCACCATATCACCCCCTTTTCAAGAAATTCCAGTAGCTCCCTATCACCTCCAGCATTGGCCTTGAAAGCCCTTCATAACTTAGTCCCTTCCTACCTTTCCAGTCTTCTCACACTTTATTCCCCATCCTGTCGTTCCTGGAGTCAGGAAGATCTGAGTTCAAATCCAGCCTCAGAGATTTAATAATTGTGTGACCCTGGACAAGTCACTTAACCTCTGCGAAAGGGAACTGGTGCATATTATAGTTATCTAGTTGCTTAACCACTGTCTGTCTCAGCATTCTCAACTGTAAAATGAAGATCAAAATAGCACCTACCTCACAGGGTTGTTGTGAGGATCAAATGAGAATATTTATAAAGCAGTTAGCACAGTGCTGGCACATAGTAGGTATTTAATAAGAAGGGGGAGGGAAGGGAGTAAGGCTTTTTTTAAAGCACGTACTATGTGCTAGGCATTGTGACACGTGCTTTATAAATGTCTCATTTAGATAATCCCTGTGGTCTCTTCCTGTTCTAAGAGTCTATAATTCTATGAAGAATTTTTTTTAATAACATTTTTCAGTAATACATGATATCCAGTTAAAAGAGAAAGAAAGAGAGGAAGATAAGGGGGGCAAGGGAAGAAGGAAAGAGAGAGAAGAGGGCAAGAGCCAGAAACAGATAACAAGAACACCCTGAGTAAGACAAGACTCAATGGGGAGATGAGTGAGCCATAGAATGTCACATCTGAAAAAGAAAAAGTGTGTCAGAGGTGAGGATCACAAATCCTCTGGGTGGGGGTACAATAACTAATGGCTAGTCACCCATGTGAATGCTGTTGACTCCCTTGCAGATGGTTAAGGCAACTAGGCATTTACTGGATTAATTCTCAGTAATTTGTAGTTTTTGCATCTGGAAGGGTCAGCCTGGGCCATGAAGGAGCTCACCGAGACAGCAGCCACAGAGCTGGGGACAGCTTACCCTAGGACAGTGCTCTTAGCACCTTCTAAATTATGGCACCCTGAGCCAAAACTCCGGTTGCCATACTCTGGTCAAAGCTTCTGAAGGCAAGCAGGGTTGGAGTTGACAACAAATATAAGGAGACCAAGCCAGGCTCTGGAAACTAGGTACTAGGGAGCAATAATTGCATTAGAGGCAACCAGTTGGTCCAGTGGACAAGGCTCTGAGTCTAGAGGCAAGAAAATCTAAGTTCTAATCTGGCCTTAGAAACTTACCTGCTGTGTGAGCCTGGGTGGGTCATTCAACTTCTATATGCCTCAGTTTCCTGAAATGTATATCATAATAGTACCTACCTCCAAGGATGATGATGAGAATCAGATGAGATAATATTTCTGAAATGCTTAGCATAGCGCCTGGAACACAGCAGGTGCTTAATAAATGCTTATTTCCTTCCCTGTTACTTGGAAAACTGGATAGAGCACTGGTCTAGGCTCTGCACTACCACTAACTTACTTTATGAATTTGGGAAACTCATTTGTCTCTGAGATTTAGCTCCTTCCTCTGTAAAATGATGGATTCAGACCTCATGATTCCATAAAATCGCTTTTCAGCTCTGAGACTCTGTGATCTGATGATTCTCAGCAGATCTAGGTGGGGAGAAACCTAGTGCTAACAACAACAGTTCACCCTTACCTTCATTCCCCTCTCCAGGAGGATGATAAAATGAAAGTCCCAGAGAGATGATGGCTGCAATTTCCAAGATAATAAGAGTCACGTCCTGTAGCGCTTCCCAGACTAGCTGTAAGAACGTTTTTGGCTTCTTTGGAGGTATAAAGTTTTGCCCAAAAATCTGCTTTCTTTTTTCTAGGTCTGGAGCAGTGCCCGGTAATCCTGGGAACAAATAAAAACAAGAGTGAATCTGATTGAAGTAATATGGAAATTCCCTAAGACATTACCTAGTCCCCGTGATTCCCAGCCCCAGGTAGAGGTAAGGAACGAGCAGCTTCCACTAAGAAGCGACGTGAACAGTGAAGATACCACTGGCTGGGTCCTCCTCAGAGACTGTACATCTAGAACTGAAAGGGTGCTCAGAGGTCATGGAGTCCAACCCTCACCTTTTACAAATGAAGAAACTGAGGCTAGGGAAGTGTAGCAACTTGCCCAAAGTCATACAGCTAGTAAATATCAGAAGTGAGATTTGAAGCCAGGTCTGTGGACTGCAGAGCCAATGCACTTTCCTTTGGGGATTGCACCTTAGGGCTGGGTGCCATTAACTGGCTAGACAGCGTTGGGCAAGGGGAAAACCAGAACACTTCTAAGCCTCGTGCAAAAGAAAATGTCTACCAGTAAGCACAGGAACTGGATTTCACCATAGGCTATAAGGCTTTATATTTCTCCCAATTAAATTCAATATCATTCAATTTGGCTGAGTTTCCTGGTCTTTTAAGACCTGCTATCAAGAGCACAGTCTGCAGAGGACAGAAGACATGATAAGCAGGTTATCTGTAGCCTTATCCAAGTCATTGTTTATGTAAAGGGTGTCCCAAGAAGGCTTAGGGCAGTATGAAGCTTTAATAGGCTTGTTTGAATAGCCTGGGAAAGAACACCAAGAGTTTGGTCACCCTGCTTTGGAAAGGACATTTAACCCTGTCTAGGGGTCAACAACAGCCTTATCAATAGGTCAAGTAGATGGGGGAAGAGGTCACCAAGATACCTTTGCCCCCTGCTCAAAAGATTCCCCAACCTATTGACCTATACTTGAAAACTCACCATCAGGGTTGCATTTCTTCAACTGGAATCTCTAACAGTCTCAGCTGTTATCTACCAGTTATGCCTTGAGATCAATGAATTTCTAATCTTTTCCTGTGAGCAGGCATTTATCTATATGTATTTTGTTCAGAATACCCTGGGCAAGTCACTTACCCTTCAGTTTTCTCATCTATAAAACGGAGATTAATAATAGCACTTACCTCCCAGGGTTGTTGTGAGATAATCTATGTAAAAATGTATACATGAAGTATGCCAAAAAATGGGAGCTGCTATCATTCTGATTATGTCACTTCATCTTCTAATGCCCCTGGAAGGCCGGCAAATTTAGCTGATATCCATAAATGTGGAGTGTGAGGCCCTGAGACTGGCCCAGAGCCACACAGGTGTGCCAGTAAGCCCAGCCAGAGTGAGAGCCCACATGTCCTGGTTTCAAGTCCACCATTTTTCCCACCTCCCAAGGCCTTGAGCTAGCCCTCTTTCTGCAGAGAGTATTCCCGCCTACTACTGTTTTCTCAGAAATAACAGCTGAACGGAACAAAAATATTTGTGTTCTGCTGGTCCCACCCCCAGGAAAGTAACCTGCCAAATGGTTTCCACAACAACAAAACAATCAGAAGCTGATTAGATCTGAGCCTTCAGACCCCAAACAAGAAACTCAAGGAGGGCAGGGGGGAGGACTTTACAGCAAGCACAGTCTGATTGAAATGAAGAAATCAGGCTTTGGACCTGCTTTACCACTAGCCAAAAGGCCTTTCAAAGCAGCAGTGGGCGAAGACAGAGGGAAATTGTCCCTCCTATCTCATTAGCACATAAAAGAGGGAAAGGGCATCAATAAACCTCCTCTGGTCATCCACAGGGATATTTCCCCTCCTAAGTCTGCCCTGAGAGTCAGGTCAGCAAATATTTCCCAAGATCCTCCAATGAGCCAGGCACTGCACTAAGTGTTGAGGATACAAAGAAAGGCGTATATACATACATACATACATACATATCCTTGCCCTCAAGGAGTTCACAGTCTAATGGAGGGAGGCAACCGGCAAACAACTGTGTACAAGCAAGGTAGAGACCGAGTTAATTGGAGATCATCTCAGAGGGAAAGCACTGGGGGGGGGGGCAGAAATGGGGGAAAGCTTCTTGCAAAGAAGGATTTTAACTGAGATTTGAAGGAAGCCAAGCTAGGGGGGGTAAAAACATGGATGGGGAGAATTCTAAGCATGGGAGACTGCCAGGGAAAGGACTTCAATTAGGGAAATGAAGTGTGGTAAGGGAGAAATGATGAGGAGGTGGGAGTCACTAGATTAAAGAGAGTACAAGGTAGAAGGAGATTGGAAAGGTAGGGAAGGGGCCAGGTTAAGCTTGGTTAAATTCATGTTAACCAAACTTCACTATGAAAGCATGCTAGGAAAAGAGTTGTTATTGTTCAGTCATTTCACTCTTGCCCAACTCTTCATGATCCCTTTTAGGGACATCTTTTTTGGCAAAAAACTGGAGTGGTTTGCCATTCCCTTCTCCAGCTCATTTTACAGATGAGGAAATTGAGGCAAACAGGGTTAAGTGACTTGCCCAGGATGATATACCTAGTAAATGTCTGGCGCAAGATTTGAACTCAAGTCTTCCTATCCACTGCTCTATCCACTGAGCCACCCAGCAGCCTTAGGAAAAGAGAGGGACAACAGTGTCATCACAGAGGAGGATGGTGAAAAAGAAAGCAACATGTTGACACAGATTTGGGATTCACAGGTTCTAGACCCAGATCTAACAATTATTATCGGGGCAGCTAGGTGGTGCAGTGGATAGTGCACTCCCTGGAGTCAGGAGGACCTGAGTTCAAATCCAGCCTCAGACACATAACACTCACTAGCTGTGTGACCCTCAGCAAGTCACTTAACCCCACTGCCTAGCCAATAAAAGAAAAAAAAACATTAGCTATGCGATCATAAGCAAGTTATTCAAACTTCTTTCCAAGTCTCAGTCTCTTCATCTTTAAAACAAGGATAAAGCAGATGGGTTGTGTAGTGGATAGAGTGCTAAACTTGGAGTCAGGAGGAGCTGAATTCAAATTCTGATTCAGATACCCACTAGCAATTTGACACTGGACAAGTCATTTAACCTCTCTTGGTCTCAGTTTTCTTGTCTGCAAAATGGAGGTAATAACGATTTTATAAGGCATGAAATAAGATAATAAATGTAAAACCCTTTTCAAGCCTTCAAAAGCTATATAAATATTCTCACCACATGGGTGATGAGAAGGAAAATGTTTAATAAAGTTTAAAATACTATATAAACATCACTATAAATTTTGGATATTGAAGGACCATGGAGATCATACGGTCCAGTCCTCTCGTTTTCTAGCTGTGAAAACAAAGATCCCCCAAAAAGGGAAGAAACGTGACTGAGGTCACATAGGATAGATTATACATTTAGAACTAGAAGGGATCTAAGAAGCCATGCAAACCCCCTGGTCTTCATAGTACAGCACACTATTAGCAATTGCCTGATGGGGGGGGGGGTAGTGGGTGGAAGCAGTGTCAGAGTTAGGAGTTCTGAGTTAAAGTCCTTCTTCTGATCCATATTGACTGTGTAACCCCGGGCAAGTACCACCACAGTGTTCCAAGCAATTCTCTGAGACCATAAGTTGTGGAATAAGAGGCAATGGGCATTCTGAGAATTCCCTAGAGCAATGTAATAACAGGTCTGAAATAACAACAATAAAAAAGTGATACAGGCAATAATTAGTGATGGTTCAGAGAAAGGAATGTTAGCTCTGGGGGTTAGGAAAAATTTCATGGAGATGAGGGCAGAAATGTCCTCTGAAGGAGAGGGAGGATTTGTGGAGGGCCAGTGGACCTGAGGGATGGCATACTAGGAGGGGAGAACAGCATGGGTAAAAGCACAGAAGTAGAAATTTGCAAAGCCTGTTGGGCGAACAATAAGGAAACCAGTCTGGTTGGATAGGAGACCTCAGGAAGTAGTTGGCATTAAAATAGCATTTTGAGTTTTGCAAAACATATCTATGGATAGATATGGATGATATAAATATACATATAGGTATAGGTATAGATATTGACATAGATACAGATATAGGTAAAAATAGAAGTAGAGAGTAGAGATAGATCTGATATGTATAAGAGAGTACCGCAGTGGAACAGATGGAAAGACCTGGCTATGCTGAGAGTACAGAAGTGGGGTGGAGAGTAAGGCCAGGGGGCCCTTATAGTTTGGCCAAAACTGAGTATAATGTGCCAGATGTGATCTGAGTAGGACAGAGTTCAAGGGGGATGAATATTTCTCAAGGCCTGGATACTAGTTCTCTCTAAATTCAACCTTAGATGGAATTTGCTTTAAAAAAAATAAAAAGAACATCATGCTACTATTGCTTAAAGAGAGATGAGAGAGGTCAGAGGACACAGTTCTCACCATGATGTAGCCCTGTCCCTACTTATCCAATCACATCTTCCATTTCTGTGGTATAACGGATAGAGCACTGGGTATAGAGTCAGAAACACCTGGGCTTGAATCCTACCTCCTTATGGGACTCAAGACAAGTCACTCAACCCCTCTGAGATCCTCTTTTTAGCTTTGTATTCTCAGCACTTAACACAGTTCTTTACATATGGGCAGGGCTTAATAAATGCTTCTTCACTCATTCCAGTAAAATCAATCAATAGCATGCTGTGATGGAAATAAGCCCTGAAGAGGGACCTAGAAGACCTAAATTTGAGACCCTGACTCTCATATTGTCCCCTCTTCAATGTTGGACAATACACAACACTTCTCTGGGCCTCACCTTCCTCATCTATAAAATAAGAATACTATCTGTAGCCTCTACTTTGCAGGGTTGTTATGAGACCAGCACTGTATAAGCCTTAAAAGAATTGTAGAAATATGAGCTGTGCTTACTATGGGAGAGGATCAGAAAGAGAACCTGCATGAAGGATCCCCTTAAGATTTTGCTCTAATATTCCCACTTTCCTTCCCCCAAAGAAGTTTCAAATAGACATTAGAGACTGTTGTTCTGAGAACAGACCCACGTCTCCCAAGTACAAATCCAGAAATCTAGGAAGCCAAATGGAGTTGGAGCCCTGAAGCACTGGGTTCACATTCTGCCTCAGACACTTATT